GAATACCACGTTTTCCAACTACTGTCGGCTGCTGCATACCTGAATGCAGTTTGTTCACAAAAGTTCAGTAAATATGAGAAAAAATATGAAATTAAACTAAAGGCAAAGTATAAGCTGTAGGTTGCACCTTTGCTCCATCTGAGGAAGACTTCACTGAATCTGGCCTGGAGAATTAAATAGTCTGTGTTTATGAATGTTTTGAATGTTCATGTGAATGTTTATTTGAGAGACAGCAAGGTAAAAATCAACTCGAACATATATTTGTTTGCCTAACCCAGTAAATCCTATATTGAGGTTGACTACCTAGTAACCCTGTGAGATGGAAAGGTATGAAGCAGGAGTCAGAATAAGATGATGCTGTCTGGGATTTGATGATTGGCAGTTGTTACCTGTCTTGCCATCACCTTTTAGCCTCTTTCCCCAGATGTGCTGCAGATGTAAAGCTGTTAATAATTCATCTGTGCCTCTCTGTTCCTTGCACATGCACACTGAACCGGTAGAGCAGGGCAGGTGCAGCTGAGGTCTCACTCAGCAGGACCTTCTGGAAGGCCTCCCCACAACACTCATCTGTGCCTCTGGAATCATTTCCTGAAGGAAAAATGGTCAGACACAGCCAAGGTTTCCCTTTCCTGAGAAATACTTTCATTTGGGCTTTACCTTGTGACAACCTCTGTACTGCATGAATTGATTTTGTGTGTAATCAACAAAACTGTGCACTTCCACCCTGCGTGTGCAGAAATAACACAAAATCATGCCTTCCTCTTGCTTGAAATACAGCCAGGTCTGTATCTCCAGAATGCAAGCAGCAGAAGTGGGAGGGATATCAAATCCAATGAATAATTTGCAAAATATCAAATCTAGCCATTTGCCAAACAAGAAAATCATCAAAGGAGAACATGAGTAAAGCCTAATGTATGCAACAGAGAGCTGTGTAGTGTTGACATAGTTCAGAGGTACTGGTGTGCCACAATGAAACACGAGCAGGCTGACTTCTGCAAGACGTTCGGTGAGCCAGGTTCCAAGGCATCTGATTAAAATACATGTTTTAAATAATAGGATATATAAATAGAAATGTAAATCTCAAAGTCCTTGATCTTCAAATTGAGTTTTTTAGGAAAATGTGTAATCATCTTGTTGTCTATTTCATTTTGCTTTCATCTTAGACCATATAATGTTTTTTGTCAGCAAGTCGTAAGCCAGTTTCCCCAAATTGCTTTGTAGCATGCTCTGCATATGGACCAAGGCAACGCACGTCTTTTTCAGTGGTCTCCATCCCTTCTAATTACTTTCTGTATACTTATAAATGCATAAATACTTATTTTTGCATAGAAAGCATTCATCATCTTTTAAAAAATGATTTTTTTTTCAGATGAAATCAGGGTAAATTAAAATTAAATCATTGGAGATCAAATGTCTTAAAGGAATTTCAGTTTCCTAGTAATAGCGATTCCAATAAGATCCTTAAATACTCACAGCATTACCAGAACCAGTGAATAGATTTGAAACCATTCAGCACCATCTAAAATTAAAAGTGTTAATCCTGAGAGAGCTTAGGATGAATGAGTAATTTAGTCATGTTAATTCCTGAAGTTGGAGAGGGGATTCAGCATTTCTTTGATTCAAAGGAAATTTTACATACTAAGGGCTGAGTCTTTATTTATGTTTAGCCACGCAGAGACTTACTACTAGATCATGTAAACTGTTGTAGAAAACATCATAAAGACCAAAAGAGCTACCTTTCTCAGTGAACATTATATTTCTTAATTAGTGTTTGTGTGATCCAGCACTCACTAGTAACTGATGAAAAAATTTGCAGTCACAGCATAAATCCAGAAACATTTCCTCACATGGAAACCTAAGCATGTAAGTGCTTGTTGTATTTGTCTCAGCAGAAGGTAATACATTAATTAGGAAAAAAACCCCATATTGACATGTGGCACAGAAAATACTGGTTTAATGGCATGGTAGGAAATAACGTTTTTAAAGACCTTCTCTAGATCTCTCTGAAGCTGTTGACAATCTTTCCAGGACTGTGAAAACTGAAAGCCTCAAGCTAGTGAAAGCAAAGTTGAGGAATTTAGCTGTTGTGTTCAGCACCCAGTCTGTCTCTCAAACTGAAAACTGTATGTGCTGTCATTCACAGGCATCTTCAAAAGGAGTAGATAGTCTATAAGTAGTACGCCAAGTAGTTTATTCGCATTTTCTTTTGTGGGCTAAAGGTATAACTGGACCTTTGTCATAGTTCATCATCTAGTTCTAGTGAATGTCCTCCCTTCTGTTGTACTTTCTAACTTCTAATATAGATGTAGCCAGAAAGGGACAGTTTGAACTTTGCTGCAACCCAGGATGCTACTGAAAAATTGTGGTAGAACTGAGTGCAAGGCTTAATTGCTCAAATCTTAACAGAAGGACCTCCAGTGAAGAGTGATTTGGAAAGATTTGTTTTCAGATCCTTCATTTTATTCCATCTCAACCAGAAGTTTTAAGCATTCTCTCCATAAAGAGAGAAGAGAAGAGATTTTTAAAAAGTATTGCTCTGGTTTGCATTCCAGTTAAAAAAACCCAGCTTTTGTTACACAGAGCTTTTTGGTGCTTTTGGAAATATTATGGAAAATTTTAAGCATGTTGAATATTGTTATTTGGTGTTTCCTCACAAAATTAACTTAGTATTAATTTTGCCTCTTCATGTTCATAAAAGATTTTCCAAACTATACTTGGTCTCAAGGACCTGATTCTGAAGCGTGTTCGGTTTAGGCGGCTGGTTGTGACCTCAAGGAAATTACGTGCTTACTTGTCAGGTGGTATTACATTAGCATGCATTTGTAGCTCTCAGATTTTGCACAAAAATGTAGCTAGATTATTTCTCGTATTCTTCTGTTACAGAGATAAAATGTAATCTTAACCAATATTTCTGTACATTTTCATTCAGAATTTAGAAAAGTTAGATTGTGATTCAAAATACTATGTGGGGTAAGATACACTATTATCTTCGTAGAGGTTATGATAGACAAATTGTAACTAAATGTTCGAATGATGGTTTTCAGTAGATAATTTATGTTAGCTAAGGAGCTAGTTGTTATTTTGTGAGCCTTTAGAAAATTGATTCAATTTTAAATTTATACTTATGTCAGTATTTGTTGTTATAGCAGAATATGATGATATTAGAAGCACTCTTCAGCTCTCTGTTCAAATTCTTTTTGAATCACCACCCATTTGCTTTGGAGAGTGCAGTTAAGGAGTTGTATTTATCTTTTTTATGAAGAGAATACTGTTAAAAAAAAGAAAAAATTTCATTCATGTTTTAATGGAGATTGATAAGAGTTATTCTCACAATAAGAGTGTAAATTCCATTTTATCATTTTTTTTGAAGAAAATATAGATGTGTACATTCAGATGATTCTCAGTTTATGAAGATTGTCTGAGATATGGTTTGATTAAGAGGAACATATTTAATAGGTCATAGCCTTTTATTGGATGTTAGTGGAAAGACTGAAAGTTTGGGCAAAGATATGGCAGTGTTGATCAGTACCTGGATTTCTATTTGCTATTTGGCCTAACCTACTCATAATACAAACTGAAATGGGTACATTGGATGCAGATTTTGCAAGTCTCAGGGAGTATATTTCAAGGATGGATTTTCAGATGGAATTCTAATGGATGGGTTACCCTGGATGGACACAAAAAGTCTGTGATTGAACATGTACTAACCATGGCTTGAGGCTCATAAAATACTGGTGAATTTAACCTGTGCATACCTAAGTAATGATACTTAAGTTTCAAATAAGACATATACCAGTCTCAAAAACTCTGTTCTTTCATTTCTGGAAATTTCAAAGACCCTTGTGCCTTCGTATCACAAAGGATTGGTCAAGTGGTCTAGTCTGAGATCATAGATAATACTGGTAAAGAGTTTGAGGTTCATCTGCTGTGCAACAATATGCAGTGTTTTCGTTGGCTGACAAATGTATCCTGATAAATGTCATGTGGGTTATGCTCTGTTTAAATGTTCTGGTAACTGATTTGCCAACTCAGGCTATGGTCACTTAGGACAGGGATCATTTAGTAAAATAAAAAATAGCTACTCTAAGTTGGTGGCTTCTTTTTTAATCATGGATAGAGATATCGTAATTCTTTCCATGTGTCTTAGATGCATGCTTTTTCAGGAAGATTCCCAGAGCTGCCTATATCTGTCTTTATTTCCTAGACAGAAAAATGATTAATATCAGGAAATAGCTCTGCCAATGCTGTTGGCATACAGTGAGAGAACAAATTGCAGAACATTATTTCATTTCGTGTAACTTTTCCCATTTTTATTTGTGTTCATTAGCCTGTCAAATGGCCTTGAAAGGCTCATTTTGTTTTTCAGTACAGAAAATATGCCTAGCTTTGCTTAAAATTATGGTAAAGCTTAGATTAAATGCTTGCAAAATGATAGTAATCTTGCATTTTCTGTACAGAGCCATGGATATTTCCTTCTCATTTTATTTTCAGAAAATATGACATTTTCATGTTACTTTTCTAATTTGCATTTTTGGTAAAGTTCTCTTGAGTCAATTAGTAATTTTTTAGATGTGTAGCTGAGCTCTAGATTGGCAAAATACTGTTGTATATAGCAATAATTAACTAATAAATGTTTTTAAAATTAACTACTTTCTTGGCCAAAAAAAAGTTATTTCCTATTCTAAACTACTTTGGTTTAAATTGTGGTTCCATTTAAGTCATCGGTCAATTATAGTCAGTAATTATTTCTTTAACACAATTTGACCCATTAAGGTCTTTATCTGTATATAGTTTTATAGCATTATATTATATGCTCATATAAATATTGATATATAGGTATTTCACAAACAGATTACATAAATACAGACATTTTTTATCCATACCAAATGATGAGAGATATATATAGTCCAAAGTCTACAAAATCGATTCATTAGACTGTTATATTTAAAATACTTCAGATAAAGTTTTAAAGTTATTTATACTTTTTTTTTCCTTTTTAGCTTCCCCATGGGTAGATAAAAGTCGAACTCCAAACAAAATAGATCTGTATGATGTTCGCAGAAGACCATGGTGAGCTTTCTTTAAAGGACTGACGTATATACGTCACTTACTTTCTAGATACGACTGTAAAGACAATTGTTTGTGATTATTTATATGTAATAGCCTTTACTTTTAGATATTGCTGTTTTCTTTTTATAAAGCCAGTTAATTCTTCTGAATAAACAATATTCAAATCACATTGTTTGTTCTGCAATATCCACTATAGTGCGTCATACTCTTGCATTACATGGACCCTTTTGAAAGAGGGTAACTATCAAATAGGTATAAGGCAATTAAAGACTTTCATTTTGTGCAAAATCATATGTAATTCAGATAATTAGACTCAACCATTCTTCCAGACTTTTGCAAGTGTTTACAAATATGTCTTAGTGGTTTAGACTACCAAAAAACTCACTAGACTGGTAAAAGACCGAGAACAGTGGGATTGTTCCTCATGACTTTTTTCTGTAATCCTCTCAAGGCATAATGCGTATTGATAATTGGATTCATAGTAGTTGAATACATTCTTCCAAAGGACAAAGTATTTTTCCCTAAACTGGGTAGACGTAATAATTCATCTGTCATCAAGATCTTTGGCTCTGAAATAGCATTCCTGTTTTTCAGTTATTAACATCTGAAAATAGGGAATTTTGATCAGTGTATCCTACTGCCAGGCTTTCCTAATGCAGTCTGGACTTTGGTTTACTTAGAAGGCACAGCCAGAGAGAAGATGATAGTATGTGGTTTTCTACTAGCTACAGCAGGAGGATTTTGTTGGTTCAGACAGATTTAGTTTAAAGAGCACAAAGTGTCTTCCATCACATGCAACAAATGTGTTTGCAAATTTGTGTCATTTGTACCCTTTTTTTATTTCAGGTATATCCAAGGAGCTGCATCTCCCAAAGACATGCTTATTTTAGTTGATGCGTAAGTGTTTAACATCTGGATACTGACATTAGAGGGATAAAAGTACTTAGATATATTGCACAAATCTATATGCTGAAACAGGGAGAGAATTAGGATATTATATGAAATGGTTGAAAATTTCAGTGTGAATAAAATAAATACACAGGAAAAAATAGTTCCAAAAAAGGACAAACCAAAACTGAAAGTTATTTAAACTGGGCATGAGGATGTGGTTTTTAATCATTGTAATACTATCTTGCTTTCAGCTTCTTAATTACTGAAGTAATCAACTGAAAATTTCTCGTATGTATGTCAAGATTTGTTGTAAAACACAAACCTAAAAATAAATTACTATAAGCATTACAGTAGGTTTAATCATGATTACATGAGCCTGAAATAGGAGAATGTATGCAATCTCCACATGTTTTACCATACATATTTTAAAATGCCATGTTTGGTTACTATAAAACATTAATAGAAAGTGAGCAAAGAAATTAATAGAAACTCTTTCTTTGCCTTGGTAAAGCTTCCATTGTTTAGCTAATGTTGAGAGACTAAAGGAAGCATTGAATCTGATGTGTCAAAGAGATTGCTTTCTGCTGAAAAGAATTCTTAGAAAGAGAATTTGCATTTAATGATTTTAAATGTGGTGAAGTGCTTTCCTATCAGCAGTGAGTTTTATCAACACTTGTTATTTCTGCACTTCAGTTTAGGTTTCACCTTGAATCAAGCAAGCTGTCATTTGGGTATCTGAAAAATCTAAAGCATAGTAAATCTATGTGTAGGAGTATAAAATGTTTAGATAATTCATTCATTGACGGTAAGAAACTCTCAGATTTCTTTAAATGAAAATGAGGAGATTATCTACCATTATGACTTCATCTGAGCCACAGCAGTGGGTCTTTGAATGCCAGTTTTTGACTTAATTTTTTATTATAATAAAGTAATAACGCTAATGGTGAGTTGAAGAATTTAGGAGAATTAGACATTTTTAATGTGAAATTTGGTGAGAGTGCTGGTTGGTGCTAAGTATTTTCTTTGTACATTTTAAATAAAATTTGTTAAATTAAACTTTTCTATTATCTTGTGGATTTCTGTTAGGAGCGGGAGTGTCAGTGGATTGACATTGAAGCTGATCCGCACCTCAGTCATTGAGATGTTAGAGACCTTGTCCGACGATGACTTTGTGAATGTAGTTTCAGTGAGTATCTGTTCTTTCCACAAAATTTGCATTGTCCACAAAGCCACAAGCAAACTATTTTTAATATAGGAAATACTTGAATGTTAAGCTGCTGAGAAACTTAAAATACCACATTTGGCTTACTGTTTTCTGGTAAGGTGCAATGAAAGTTCTAGATTTGTTGCTATCTATACATTTGAGTGGAGAGCTTATTAGATACAGTAAACAACAAAGGAGGTAAATCAAAAGTCATATATACAAAATTCTGTGTAGTTAAATTCTCCTTTCCAATATATTACACAGAATCACAGAAAAATCACAGAGTGGCAGGGATTGGAAGGGACCTCTGGGGGTCATCTAGTCCAACCCCCCTGCCAAAGTGGGGTCATCTACAGCAGGCTGCACAGGACCTTGTCCAGGTGGGTTTTGAGTATCTCCAGAGAAGGAGACTCCACCACCTCCCTGGGCAGCCTGTTCCAGTGCTCCGTCACCCTCAGAGGGAAGAAGTTCTTCCTCATGTTTAGCTGGAACTTCCTAAGCTTCAGTTTGTGCCCGTTGCCCCTTGTCCTGTCGCTGGGCACCACTGAAAAGAGTCTGGCCCCATCCTCTTGACAGTCGTCGTTAAGATATTTATAAGCATTTGTAAGATCCGCTTTCAGTCTTCTCTTCTTGTCTGTGTAGCACAATTTCTATTTCATTAGTATATGCAAGTTCTCTTGAAATAATCGGTGGTTCCCAGGTTTTATATTGTGGTATGAGATAAAATGGTACAGAGAAGGGGGAAGTTCCTTCTTCTAAACAGTAGACATTTGGGTTGCTTGTGTTAACTGACGCGTGATGACAGAAGACGTGCAGCCATACATCTGACCTGCTGAAGAGGTGCTGCTGAGAAGTTCCACAGTTAGCAATTTGATGAGTAACAAAGCAATTTTTCCCATAGTAATTAATGTAATAGAGAGGATAATCCACGGAGGAACTTAAAAATGCACATAATTTATCCATACAGAGACAGTGTATGTGATGGTCAGAGGGCTATTAGGAGGGTGGGATTGTAAGGATTGCCTAATGAAGGAGATGCTGGCTTTTTGGGGGCTGGCTTTTCAGCAGCTGAGATCTTTCAGAACATGATCTGAAACATTAGTACTACATATAATTACTACACTTAAAACTTGACTACCAGACTTAAAATTCTGTTTCCATAAAACAGAGTTTTTAAATAGTTCTTTAAAAAAAGTTTTTTGGTTTTTTTTCAATGGCATTTGGGTCTTTCTAATACTTGGCTGGAATTTAAAGTGCAAATTCCTGGTTTTCAAGAAAGGTGAAGATAAAATAAAATAGATTCGGGCAGGGGGAAGATGGTATAGGCAACTTGCAATTTTCAGACTGATACCTTGGATGTCATGCTTTAGCCTCAGGCAAGGCTTTTTTGTTTTTTATTAAGTTGTTGAGCTGTAGAGCTTTGATTCTAAGGATTTAGGATGGGAGCATTGACATACTCTTAATGACAAGAGACAGCCTGCATGGTGAGTAACTCTGGAAGGATTTTGGAGGCAATTTTCAACTTCTACAGATGTGTTGTAGCCAGCCTGCAGGGAGAAAGACCTGAAATATCACTATCAGAACTCTCTTTGAACACCACTTACTGCTTCATGGTTTGCTGTCAGTCTAGCTAAAGCTTTCTCCAGAGAGAAGCTTTTATTTGCAATGGCATTTCCTTTGTTAAAGTTTTTAATAGTGGATTAGACTGTTTTCTTTAGTCTAAATTGTAGTGAAAGAAACAGAAACTATTTTTTTAGTTATTATTATTAAAGGAAATAAGCTTTTCTGTAATGACATTAGAGAGATGAAATCTTGTTAGGTTCTCTGGTTTAAAAAAAAAAAAGATTCTAATCCTAAACTGCTGGAAATTGATTACTGTGTTCAGTGGAGCTGTGCCAGCTTTTGCTGTTGGAAGACCTGGACCCCCACTACTTCCTGATTTACACAGTTTTCCAAACTCTTTCCTTCATTTACTCCCAGCTGGCCAGAAACAGTGTATCTTAATCCTAAGCCTTCCTTAGGCTCAGGATGTTTTATTACCTGAGGTTCAGTGTTATTCGAGCGAGGTCCCAAGGTTGGGATTCATGTCAAAAAGGGCTAGAAATCTTTGAATATCTTCTACAGTACATTTTCCCAGTGGTTTGTAACTTAAAATATGTAAGGACACCAATGCTGATGACACCAAACTGGGAGGT